CCGATCCCTGCTGGAGGGCGCAGCCGGGGGCCCAAAATGCTGCAGTATCCGGCTGAGAGCTGGCAAGGCACCCACCAGCCCCCGTGGGCGACACTGGGAGGGGGGATGCTGGGAGCACTGGACTGCCGTGGGTGGGGAGGCTGCCCTGGCCCCGTGGGTGACCCCATTTGGGGGTGCCCCCAGGTGCCCATGCTCTTCCCTGGTGGCTGAGCAACCTCAAGCTCATTGCACAGGTGGGAAACTGAGCCAGCGGCTCCGGTTCCCAGTGCTGGTGCTTTTCCCACAGGAAGCAGGCACCAGGCACAAAGGGGCCGGCTCCCAACCCACCCCCTGTCCTCAAGGTCTTCAACAGACCCATCCTCTTCGACATCGTCTCCCGGGGGTCACCGGCCGGCCTGGATGGGCTCCTCTCTTTCCTCCTCACCCACAAGAAGCGTCTGACAGATGAGGAGTTTCGAGGTGAGCACCTGGGGCTGGCCCTGCCCTGGGACCCCGTGGTGCCGGGGCTGTGCCATGCCACTGGTGGTCCCCGTGTCCCTGTGGGGATGGTGAGGCACAGCCCCAGCATGGGGGGACTGTGACGCCTGGCGCCCGGGAGAAGGTGGGGACTTGGCCAGGGAGTGCAGGGGTGCAGGGCTGGGCACCCCCATAGCCGGGGGGGGCTCTCCCCGGCCCCCCTCAGCATCCTTGGCTCCCAGAGCCCTCCACGGGGAAGACCTGCCTGCCCAAGGCACTGCTCAACCTGAGTGGGGGCAGGAACGACACCATCCCCCTCCTCCTCGACATCGCCGAGAAGACGGGCAACATGCGGGAGTTCATCAACTCGCCCTTCAGGGACGTCTACTACCGAGGTAGGGGGGGCGCAGTGCCGCTGCCAGCCCTGCCCAGGCATGGGGGACCCCAGGGAGGTTCAGGGACCGGAGTAGTGGGGACCCTGGGGAGGATGGAGGACGCCAGGGAGGTTGGGGACCAGAGCAGTGGGGACCCTGGGGAGGATGGAGGACCCTGGGAGGGCTTGGGGACCAGAGCAGCGAGGACCCTGGGGAGGCTGTGGCGCTCCAGGGGGGTTGGGTACTGGAGCAGCAGGTACCCCGGGAAGGCTAGGGACACAGGGGAAGTCGCGGGGCGAGGCGGGGGCTGATGGGCGCCGGTGGTGCAGGTCAGACAGCCCTGCACATTGCCATCGAGCGCCGCTGCAAGCACTACGTGGAGCTGCTGGTGGAGAAGGGAGCGGACGTGCATGCCCAGGCCCGTGGCCGCTTCTTTCAGCCCAAGGATGAAGGTGGCTACTTCTACTTCGGTGAGTGGGGAGGTTGCCGACGGGTTGCCCCGGGGGGGGGACACCGGCTGCGCCCTGGGGATGCCCCCGTGTTGGGGTGAGGGCGCCGGGCACCCCGATGGCATGCTGTCCCTGCAGGCGAGCTGCCCCTCTCGCTGGCTGCCTGCACCAACCAGCCCCACATCGTGCACTACCTGACGGAGAACGGGCACAAGCAGGCGGACCTGCGGCGCCAGGATTCTCGCGGCAACACCGTGCTGCACGCCCTGGTCGCCATCGCCGACAACACCCGCGAGAACACCAAGTTCGTCACCAAGATGTACGACCTGCTCCTCGTCAAGTGCGCCAAGCTCTTCCCCGACACCAACCTGGAGGCACTGCTCAACAATGATGGCCTCTCCCCCCTCATGATGGCTGCCAAGACTGGCAAGATCGGGGTACAGTGACCCCCCCAGAGCTGGGTCATCTGCCCTGATGTCCCCAGCTACAAGGGCTGAGCCTCTGTCAGCTCTCGGCTGAGCCCTGTTGCACTCAGTGCATGTCCCTTCGAGCAGCACAGCTTCTCTCTGCAGATGCTGTTGGAAATCTGCACGTGCAGCCCATTAACCTGGCTAATTAACCCCCCCCATTGCATTCCATCCCCTCCCTAATTAACCCCCCCCATTGCATTCCATCCCCTCCCTAATTAACCCCAGACCCTCCACACATCTCATCCTTTCCCCTTACTTGCCCTCATCCTCCAGCGGTGCGGGCAGGAGGGGGTGTTAAAAATGCAGAAGTTGCAGCATCCTGGGGCACTGCCACTGCGCTGGTGTCCACGCATGCCGGGAGCACCCCGGGCCCTCCTGGGGTGCAGGGGGTGGGTTGGGGTGTGCAGCGGCAGGAGGGGATGGGGTGGGAGGAGAATGGGGTGCCCCAAGCGGGCGGGGGCCGGGTGCGGGTCTGCCCGTGGGCGAGCGGTTCTCCCTCCGGCAGATCTTCCAGCACATCATCCGGCGGGAGATCACAGATGAGGACGTCCGGCACCTCTCGCGGAAGTTCAAGGACTGGGCGTACGGCCCCGTGGGGCCAGAGGGCCAGGTCCCCGCTGACAGCACCCGTGTCCCACCAGAACCGCCATGAGATGTTGGCCGTGGAGCCCATCAACGAGCTGCTGCGCGACAAGTGGCGCAAGTTCGGGGCCGTCTCCTTCTACATCAGCGTGGTTTCCTACCTCTGCGCCATGGTCATCTTCACCCTCGTCGCCTACTACCGCCCCATGGAAGGCCCCGTGAGTCCCACGGCACCGGGGCACAGCCCCGTGGGCCAGTGCCTCCTGGCAGGGGGCTTGCCGGGTCTCTGCCTGCCCTGGGGTGGCGGGGCCGCTCAGCTCTGTCCTTTCCCCGCAGCCCCCCTACCCGTACACCACCACCATCGACTACCTGCGCCTGGCCGGGGAGATCATCACCCTTCTCACTGGCATCCTCTTCTTCTTCACAAACGTCAGTGGCGGCGGGGTCCTCCCATGGGACAGCCGAGCCCTCGTGATCTCCACGCAAGGAGCGACTCGAGGGCTGTCCTGAGGCATCAGCCCCCACCCCGATGCTCCCCCGGATACCGGGACCCTGCTGCATGGGGGCTTGCCCCCTGCCAGCTCCCCCTCAACCTCTCCCTCTCTCCCCCAGATCAAAGATCTGTTCATGAAGAAGTGCCCAGGCGTGAACTCCTTCTTCATAGACGGCTCCTTCCAGCTGCTCTAGTATGTGGGGAACCCCCGGGGCCTCCCTCAGCCACAGCCCCCCCGGCTTGCACGGGGCAGTAGCCAGCTGTGGGCAGCTGTGCAGGGTCTGACCCTGGCTCTCCTCCAGCTTCATCTACTCGGTGCTGGTGATTGTCACGGCGGGGCTCTACCTGGGCGGCATCGAGGCGTACCTGGCCGTCATGGTCTTTGCGCTGGTCCTGGGCTGGATGAATGCGCTGTACTTCACCCGGGGGCTCAAGCTGACGGGGACCTACAGCATCATGATCCAGAAGGTCTGGTGGGGTTGGGCCGTCTTCTCCTTCCCCAGCAGGGCTGGTCCTCCTATGGATGTGCAGCCCAAAAGGAGGGTCCTCCATGCTGTCTTTAGGGTTTCTTGTGCCTCACCAATGCCTGTTCTCAGCCCAGCATGGCTCAGCGATGGTGCCCCGGCACATGGCCGAGCACTGCAGTCCAGCACATCTCAACCCCCTCCTCTCCATCACTTGCAGATCCTCTTCAAAGACCTTTTCCGCTTCCTCCTGGTCTACTTGCTCTTCATGATCGGCTATGCCTCAGGTAGGTGCCTGGCCAGCGAGCCGGGGCTTGGGGGAAGGACGAGCCCTGTGGCACGGCTTGGCATGGTCAGGCAGGGAGCTGTGGAGCCCCCGCTCCATCCTACCTGCCTGCGGGCTCAGCCTTTGCCTCCTCCTGTGGTGGAGAGGGGCTCAGCTGGCACAGGGCTCGTCACGAGCCCCATCCTCGCCGTGGCCCCCACGGACTCGCTGCCCCTGTCCTTCCTCCCCCAGCTCTGGTGTCCCTCCTCAACCCGTGTCCCAGCAGCGAGTCCTGCAGCGAGGAGCAGTCCAACTGCACGGTGCCCACCTACCCCTCCTGCCGGGACAGCCAGACCTTCAGCACCTTCCTGCTCGACCTCTTCAAGCTCACAATTGGCATGGGTGACCTGGAGATGCTCGAGAGCGCCAAGTACCCCGGCGTCTTCATCATCCTCCTTGTCACCTACATCATCCTCACCTTCGTGCTCCTCCTCAACATGCTCATCGCTCTCATGGGTGAGACCGTGGGCCAAGTCTCCAAGGAGAGCAAGCACATCTGGAAGCTGCAGGTACCACCCCGGGAGCTGCACTGCAGCACCCCAGGCTCCATCCAACCTGGGCGAGGGACTCCCCCCATGCCTCCGTCCCCAGGTGGCTGAGGGGTCCCTGCTGTCCCTGGCAGTGGGCCACCACCATCCTGGACATCGAGCGCTCCTTCCCTGTCTTCCTGCGGAAAGCCTTCCGCTCGGGGGAGATGGTCACCGTGGGGAAGGGCACTGATGGGACACCTGACCGCCGCTGGTGCTTCAGGTAAGGGCAGGTCCCTGGGGAGCCCTGGGGAGCCGGGGAGCAGGAGCAGCCCAGCCTCTCCCACCGCAGCCAGTAGCATTTTGGGGTGCCGACACTGCGCGTTCCTTTGCTGGGTGGTTTGTACTGATCTGGAGCCAGGAGGCATTGCCGGTGTTGGGATGGGACGGTGCCGGGATGCAGGAGCTGCCATCCTGGCTCCCAGCTGCTCTGTGCAGCCCCTCTGGGTCTGACCTTCCCCACAGGGTGGACGAGGTGAATTGGTGAGAGGTGAGCACGGTGCCATGGGCTGGGAGCATCCCTCGGGATGCTGCTTGCAGCCTCTGATGAGCCCCAGGAGCTCCTCCTCTCTCCGCAGATCGGTGGTCGACAGTGGTGCCACGTGTGGTGGAGCTCAACAAGAGCTGCCAGCCGGAGGAGGTGGTGGTGCCGCTGGGGACCATGGGTGCAGCAGAGACGCGGGAGCGGCGGG